CAAGACAACTTTGTTGCTTGTGGAGTTGCAGAATTTGTTGGACAGAAGTTCACCAACTGGAATGATGAGCTTATCATGCAGTTCTACTCCATAGCACACTTTTACCCAGATGGAAGAATAGTTTGGATGTCTGAAGGTACAAGGTACCAGTCCACTATTGAAGGATGGGCAAGTCTGATCAATGCCTCCAAGGAGAATGAGGATGACCTAGAAATTTATGCAAAGAAGAAGTTGGGTCACAATTCAATGGCTCACATGTACAAGGAAATTCCAGACAAGGCATTAGAGACTCACAAGTTTGGATCAGTTCACTTTCTGCTGTCAGGGTTGCCAACCATAAATTGGATTCTGAGGCACACCTTGTTGCCCAAGTCTAGTGACCATAACATGATCAGAGGGCATGCCATCAACATGTTGCATGTGTTTGATGTGCCACAGAAGTTCAAAGTAATGAGCCTGATCATTGAAACAATCAAGAGGACTGCAGCAGATCAGAAGAGGATCTGTGGATATGCACCTCAGATTCAAGAATTGATAAACTCAAAGATGGGCACAGGAAAATATCAGTTGGATAAGGAACACTTTCCACTTTATCCAGACTTTGAGGACAATGAGGTTGTCATGAATGAAGATGATCCACAATCAGTTCAAGCTCAGGAGAAGAAGGAGAAGGCAAAGAGGGAGAAGGCTGCCAAGATGCCAACTCAAGAGGAGGCATCTGAATATTTCTTGAAAACCAAACAGGAGCAGCTTGGTTACTTGATAGCATCATCTCTGAGGATTGAGAAGGGGTTGGCCACCCTAACTCAAAACCAGGAGAGCCTGGAAAGAATCATGGAACAAAAATTCTATGATCTAGATGTCAAGCTAACTGAGATTCAGTCAGTTGTGGAGCAGCTGCAGGATGACATGCAGGAGAGGAAGGGCAAGACTACCACCAATGTGTTTCCCAGAGTGCCCAGAGCCCAGAGGTCAGTTGCAGTGCCAGTGACAGACACTAGAGCAACAACTTCAGCATCAGCCACTGCCCCTACAGTTCCAGTGCAACCAGCTCCAGCACCAACTCCTCCAGCTCCATCCACTTCAACTGAAGCCTTTATCCAAGGATCCATCTCTACACCACCACCAGAAGATCAAGCCTGAGAGTCGATCTAGCACTATGCATTTTCTATGAACTTTTTGGTAACTTGTTGCCAAAGGGGGAGAAAAATGTATAGATCATAGGCTTCGAGAGAGAGAGTGTTGCTTTTGTTCTCTCTTGCTTTATTTGGTGGGTTTTCAATCTTTGTTTGCTTTTGGTTGAGATACTATGCTTGCGAGACATTGATGATCATGTGTTTGATCATAAGCTACACTTATGCATGCTTGATATTATCCTATCTATCTTATGTGATCACTCACTATGCTTGGTGATGAGTGCATGTGTTCATTGTTTATTATTTTGAGCGCTCCACCAAGATGTATGTGACATGGAAGAGTAACCCATGAGCCTAATTCATTGTGCATTTGCAGTCCAAAGAAAATCTAAAACTATGCACAAATTTAGGTGAGCTCTTGCTTATCACATACTTCTCAAAGCGACGATGTTATTTAAATTTTATTATCATTTGTCGAAGCTTTGATCTATATGTTGTCATCAATTACCAAAAAGGGGGAGATTGAAAGTGCAACTATCCCTAGGTGGTTTTGGTAATTCGTAACAACATATAGCTCATTGAGCTAATGCTATTTCAAGACTATTATTTCAGGAAAGCTCAATGAATGGCATGGCATGGATGGTGAAAGTGGATCCCTCAAAATACTAAGTACAAAGGATTGGCTCAAGCTCAAAAGCTCAAGACTCTTCATTTTACATTTTAGTGATCCAAGATCACATAAGGTCTATAGGAAAAGCCAATACTATCAAGAAGGGATGAGGTGTTGCTTAATGAGCCTCTTGCTTCATGTGCTTAGTGATATGCTCCAAAACCCTCAACTACTTTCCCACATCCACAAATGACCTAAACCTAAATCCAAAATCGGTCACACCGATTCTTTCTATCCGGCGCCACCGATTCCAAAAGTCATAGCCACTGCCACAAACCCTAAGCAAATCGGTCTTACCGATAGGGATCTCGGTCTCACCGAGATGGGGTTGCAATCTCTCTGTTTCCCTTCGTAATGTTTCGGTCTAACCGAAGTGAGCGATCGGTCCCACCGAGATTGCAGTGTAAACTCTCTGTTTCCTTTTTGTAACATTTTGGTCTCACCGAAAAGAGCAAATCGGTCCCACCGAGTTTACCTGACCAACTCTCTGGAAAGCTTATTACCAAATCGGTCTCACCGAGTTTGTGTAATCGGTCTCACCGAGATTACGTTATGCCCTAACCCTAACCGAATCGGCCTCACCGAGACGCATGTCAGTCCCACCGAAAATCACTAACTGTCACTAGGTTTACTAAATCGGTCCGACCGAGTTTAACGATTCGGTCCCACCGAGTTTGGTAAATTGTGTGTAATGGTTAGATTTTGTGTGGAGGCTATATATACCCCTCCACCTCCTCTTCATTCGTGGAGAGAGCCATCAGAACGAACCTACACTTCCAACTTACCATTTCTGAGAGAGAACCACCTACTCATGTGTTGAGGCCAAGATATTCCATTCCTGCCATATGAATCTTGATCTCTAGCCTTCCCCAAGTTGCTTTCCACTCAAACCCTCTTTCCACCAGATCCAAATCCTATGAGAGAGAGTTGAGTGTTGGGGAGACTATCATTTGAAGCACAAGAGCAAGGAGTTCATCATCAATGCACCATTTGTTACTTCTTGGAGAGTGGTGTCTCCTAGATTGGCTAGGTGTCACTTGGGAGCCTCCGACAAGATTGTGGAGTTGAACCAAGGAGTTTGTAAGGGCAAGGTGATCGCCTACTTCGTGAAGATCTACCGCTAGTGAGGCAAGTCCTTCGTGGGCGACGACCATGGTGGGATAGACAAGGTTGCTTCTTCGTGGACCCTTCGTGGGTGGAGCCCTCCGTGGACTCGCGCAGCCGTTACCCTTCGTGGGTTGAAGTCTCCATCAACGTGGATGTACGATAGCACCACCTATCGGAACCACGCCAAAAACATTCGTGTCTCCAATTGCGTTTGAATCCTCCAAACCCTTCCCTTTACTTTCTTGCAAGTTGCATGCTTTAATTTCCGCTGCCTATACACTCTTTGCATGCTTGCTTGAATTGTGTGATGATTGCTTGACTTGTCCTAAAATAGCTAAAATCTGCCAAACTCTAAAATTGAGAAAAGTTTAAGTTTTTATTGGTCAAGTAGTCTAATCACCCCTCCTCTAGACATACTTCAAGGTCCTACAGCCTTGCAGACACGAAGTGTGGGAAGAGCATGTTCTCAATTTCAAGGAATTGATCAAAGGTCATCCCGTGCTCAATGGAACAAGGCACATAGCCATTTGATGCTGACGGGAGACTACATTGCCCCCGATGCCCTATCCGCTGATGATTTTCTCAAGTACTTTCTGGTTGCAAAACAATGTCGTTGATCTTCTTTGTCATGGCATCCAGTCCTATGATGACTACCTCATCTTGAAGAAGGATGTCGTAGGAAGGATTGGATTTCTTTGGTTACCAGAAGTGCAGGACCGCTGATTCATGGGAGGAATACCTCCGAATGTGTGAGAGCACATGTGGAGATTCCATGGTCAGATTTTCTACTGCCGTGGTCGAGGTGTTTGGACCTCAGTACTTCAGAGAACAATCTGCCACGGAAACCGAGAGGCTCTCGACAATGTTCGAAGCAAGAGGGTGGCCAAGTTTGCTCGAATCTCTTGAGCGAATGCATTGGAGATAGAAGAACTATCCAGAAGCTCTACGAGTTCAATATCAGGGTCATGTTAAGAATCCCACCATCATTCTTGAAGCAGTTGCATCACATGATCTCTGGATTTGGCACGCTTTCTTTGGTATGCCCGGGTCTCACTATGGCATCAGTGTGCTGCAGTGATCTCTATTGTTTGCTAGACTGACTGAAGGGACAACTCCCTTCTTGCAAATATATTATCAATGGGCATGAATATAACATGGGCTACTACTTGGTAGATGATATCTATCCTCCATGGGCTACCTTTGTCAAGACCATTCTGAGCCACTTGGTCAGAAAATGTCTCACTTTGCCCAAAGACAAGAATAAGCTAGAGAAGATGTTGAGGGGGGCATTTGGAGTTCTCGAAACCCGTTTTACAGTTTTTCGTGGACCTGCTAAACAATGGGGTAAGGCCTTGTGGGAGGTGATGACATGTTGTGTGATCATGCATAAGATGACCATGGAAGATGAGGGTGAAGATGCTACCACAACTCTTGAATTTGAGAACATGGGTGGTCTTATCTAACTTGTAGATTAGAATTCTACCACGCTTGATGAGTTTGTTCAAATGCATCAACAAATTCGGCATCGAGGAACTCATGAGCAACTCAAGAAAAATTTAATTGAGTATCTGTGGGTGGTTAAAGGGGACTACTAGACATATATGTCACTTGAATTCAAGTTTGAACTACTTTAATATGAAAACTTTGTTTGGTGTAATATTTAGATTAGAACTACTGCCGCATTTTACTATTTTCAATAATCTACAATTTGATACCCAGTTTTGAGCCGACGGACTTTTAGAAAATAGACATATGCTTGTAGCTAGCTTTGGGTGGCCGGTTTCTGTATTACTGTGTGTGGACTGGTCCCACTAATCCGTGGGCTGATACAGTGTCGGATTTTAGGGTCGGCGTGCCCTTAACCTCCCCCTCGTCCCTAATCTCTTGCAACTGTTGATTTTCTCTAAAAATTAGTGAGCTATCTGGAAGGGAAACATCTTTTTTGCCGGGACACAGAAGAAACATCTCTGAATTTTTGTTGTCCAAGTTGCAAACTTTATGCCGCGATTTTAGATGTAGAGAGAAGAGGAGGACTGAACACATCCGAATAAATCAAGGTAAATGCAGTGTAGTGCGAGTGAACTTACGAAACCGGAGCGGAGGATCCTGGATCCACTGCAACAAGGACTACTTGGGACGGGGATTTTTCCTTCATAACTCGTTCTTCTGGATGCTGCTTCACATGAAGTGGAACAGCGGAACGAACGGGCCTCCTCAAAAAGAAATGAATCTCCAGCAAGAGAAATGTGGCTTCCATGATGTACTCATAAGGTACGGGCCATGGTGTAGTGCATGATTGAGAGTAGTTGCGCAATAAATTAGTCATCTTTCGAACGTAAACTCCACATGTACTATGAAATAAATGCATTTTTCCTGTACCTGTGGTTTTTTCTTCGTATGGGTTTATTAGTCACCCTCGCACTTTGATCAAATTTTATCTGTAAATTTAACTAATAAAATATGAGTTTTGTGTAGAAAAATAATACCTTTGGAAAGTTCTTTTGAATACGATTCCAGTGTTCTAATATTTGTGACGTATAACTTATATTTGGTAGTCAAATATATCATCAAAGTTTGATCTAATATAACAGACGGGTCTATAAATCCGGATGAAGAAAATATACCTATGTATAGCAACGGTGATTGTCCGCCTCGTGCATGTAGCAACCATAGTGACCAATCTCTCTCCACGTCCCTCTCTAATGGTCCAATCAACATTGGACCCCATGATTAATGTGATGTTGTTGGTCTTATTTTTTTACATAGTACAGTCGAAGTCGCTCAAACATACAAGCATACACTCACTCCTATAAACGCACATGCGCACACACTATCACTATGAGCACCTAGATTAAGCCGGCACATCATTTTGAGGTCGACGAAGTCATCACGAACGCATTCGTAATCGACGGGAACGTCTTCTTCCACTGAACGCACAATATTGAAAGGGCTGAAATAAATTCAGAAAAATATGAGCACCAACGTCAAATAAAGTCTGACACTTGAACTCTATTCGGCTGAGGATACCACTGTCCTCATAACCATCCAACCATAGGTTAATTTGTTTTTTCTTTCTTTTAAGGATACATAATTTGTCTAATGAGATTGATTTTACAACACTTGCCGCGTTAATTAACAAGCTCGAGAAAAACACATCAGATGAACGAGTAATAAGTGGGCAGGCAACATAAAACAAGAAATGCAAATTGACCATAGCTCAGATGGTTATGTTTCTTGTGGTGGAACCAACTCATTAGAATTTAAGTCCTTGACTTAGTATCGGCGGTCACATTTTTCTGAATTTATTTCAGGCCTCCAGGTGATGTGCATTCTGTGGGAGAAGATGTACGGAGGTGCTCGTAGGGACTCGTAGGGACTGGATGTATGTGCATGCCTTTTATAAAGATGAGTGTACATTTTTTAGAATGAAGGCTCACAAAGAGCCCGACTTTGAATTAACAAAGCCAACAACCGGCCAGGATTACAACTCGACATAACAACCACACAACTCACCAAGAAAAAGAAAAAGAAAACAAAAAAGACGGCAAGATACAACGACGCCAGGGAGCAGCTCACGGACCTAGCATACAACAGGCTAAAGAAGATCAACAATGAGCACCTAGCTTGGGGATGACAAGGCCCTCCTGCACACACAAAGTCTAGGAATAGGAGAATGCCGGCGCAGAAGAGGAAGAACAGACGCCGCCGAGCAGGCCAGCCGTCGCCAAAACACCAGGGCCCAGTGAAATACACTACCATCCAGATCCATCATCGAAGAAGGCCCCTGCCTCCTCGCCTGGCTCGAAAGGCGCCACATCGTCGACATATGTACATGTTCACCCTAGAACCTGGATGGACGACATCTATGGAGACCACAGGAGTGGAAGCAGGCAGTCCCGTCTTGTCGCCAACTTCTCACCTGGAGCAGAACATCGCCAAAATCCAGACACCCGAGCACACAAAAGACAAGCTGCCAGGATGAATGAAAGAGCAACAGCCAGGACCAAGATCAAAATGATAAGCTTTGGCTCTACGGCTCGCTGGAGTGACACCAACAAAAGGGATCCCTATCCCCTCCTGTATGGGAACCACGGGCACCGGACAGGGGCACTACAGGAGCATGAAGAGCACCCAACCATCATGGTCCCTCACCAGGGAGGGCATCGCCACCACTGGAGAAACACTGTCGCCGCCGACACCCACCACACACATCTCAGCAAAGTCCAACAACCATCCTTGTTCCCTAAGCGGCGCCTTCAGGAAGGATACGACGCCAAGGGCGGCGCCGCCGCCCAACAAAGTTGGGGTTTTCACCCGGGAAGCCAAGGGAAGGGGACGGGGGCAATATACCTAATGGCGCCTCCAGGAAGGTGAGTGGCGGCCGCGGGCGTCACCGCCGTCGAAGCCGGCATAGCTGGCTTGGGATTTCTCCCGGTCGAATGCACCCGTCACCGGCACCCACCCAGCGGAGGAATGGCGTCCATGACGAGGCAAGCCAGAGCTGGGGGGTGAGGGTCCGCCAAATCAGCAGCGGAAGGGAGAAGGCGGCCAGATATGGCGACATCGGAGCAGAGGCCGCCGCCGCGCCCTGGCTCGCATCCACCACAGAGCTCGCCACCCGCACGGCCGAGATCTGCGACTCGCGCCCGCGCCACCTTGCGCCGAGGTCCGGTGGCGCCCAACCAGCCGGGGCCGCAGCCCCGGATCCTGAGGCTCCCCGCGAGCAAGAAAGGGCAGCAACGAGAGGCCCCGCCGCCACCTTCATCAGCAACACCCCGGGCTTGGCC